AAAATAACAAGTTTGGCTTATAAATAATTAAGTTGTAATAAAAACGTTTGTTGATAATATCTGTCGTCAAGTCATCGAGCGGCACTTGCTTTCGAACTTCTCTAACATATTCGCACCAACTGCGGTGGTAAAGTTCTCTGATGAGGATCTCGTACGTATCGCCGCCGAGCCAGCGAAGCAGAAGGATAAGAGAACGGCTCTTGCTGCACTTGCACAGGGTCTCCGAGACAGTCTGACCGCCTTGCAAAACTAGGTCTCTGAGGACGGACTTTACTCATTTCAGCGAACTTACTCCAGGTGTCAGTGATACAAGCATCGATCGTGAGGGGCTATGCATTTACTAGTAGATGCCCGAGCCTTGCCTGAATTGAAAACACTATACCCTACTGCCTATAATCTCATCCTGTGAACGAAATGCCTTGCTAGTTGACTACGCCCAGATAGAGCCTATTCCCTCAAAGAAATCCAGTCTGAACCATATGGCTGGACCTGTGCTATACCCTCTGAATTCATATCCACGCTTTGAATCTTATAATCAAAGCCTACTATCTCAGTAGATCGAACAAATGGGAACCTGTATCGTTTCCCCCGCACCCTTTGTGGCCCAAAATGAAGAAAAAAACCCCCTCCACCCCAGCGCCTCATGGGCATGCCCAGCTTCGGCGCAGTTGCCGAAGTGTACGTTACCGTATTCAGGAATTTTCACTTCACTTCACCAAATCGTCAGCCCCGCAGTGCATTGGGTGAGATTATATCGAATGGAGGTGCATATAATCAGGAAAGGCAAGTTCAAAACGGCAACATATTATATCTAATCTATCTTACAAAGTGACGCCATCTTAATCACACGCTAATTCAAGCCTCAATGCGTTAGCGTCTCCTTGAGCTCTTGCTCAATTCCCATCCACTCCCTTTCGATCTTAGCTTCAAAAGATGAAATCGCTCGTATCATCGGAGTCTTTTAGAACATGATGGAGAGTGTCAAGGTGCTCTCTTAAGGTGAGGTAGGAAGCAGGCTTGACATCGCAAGAAATAAGCGACAGAGCAAATTGATCTAGGGAGGTTGAAAATGGATGGATCTTCGGCTGCACAAGTTTAATTTTGAGGTTTTCAAATTACGCCAATGATATTCGAATTAACACTAAGTGGGGCACGGAAGCGGAGCTGTCCAGGAAAGTGGATCCCAGCTAGAGCCTGAGGCAACCTAGAGCAGAAAATCGGGTCAGGCGCACTACATCGATGAGTCATAGGTGCAGGTCCAATTGGTCAAAGCTTGACACAAATGTGGCGTTGGATGTCAGGCTTATCGGCCCGCTCCATACCGGAGCGGGGAGAAGACGCGGGCACCAATAGAGCACATATTCTAGTCAGTGCGCGCAGAAGTTCCGTAAAGACCAGAATTCTGCAGAACAGGTGGGGAAAGATAAGGAACCCTTGCGCAAATCGAGACTGCACACACTGGGGACTCAAGTCTTTTAGAGTTGCCTGCAGTAACGAGGCTTACTTTCGTAAGTCAAGGGATTTGTGAATCAAGGGTTTGTGAGTCAAGGGTTTGTGAGTCAAGGGATTGGTGAATCAAGGGTTGTGAGCCAAGGGTTTGTAAGTCAAGGATTTTGTGAATCAAGGGTTTTGTGAATCAAGGGTTTTGTGAATCAAGGGTTTTGTGAATCAGGGGTTTTGTGAGTCAAGGGATTCGGTCAACTCCTTTTGCTCTTAAGAGCCATATGATCTTAAGAACAACAGGATTAAACACGTGATTGTACAAAACCAGCCAAGTAACCTGACCGCAAGCTTACAAAGCATGTGTGGCCGTGCACCAGGTGCACCAGGTGCAAACCTGATCACTGCCACATTCGCACATCGAAGCCTCACGCAAAGGGCCCACAGCCTGGAGCAGCGGATGCTAGGGGTTCTTGAAGCCTCCGACCCGAATTTATAGGCGATGATTTTTTCCGAGCGTGATAAAATGGGCGCGAAAAAGAGTCGAAACGAACCGTGATATGGAAGAAAGCTGTCGCATTGGCGTAAAACGATAATATACTTCGAGTTACTTGCGACATTGCACTAGAACATTTAATGCAAGAGGCCATGTTTGGATGCCATTTATCGTCAGCAGATCTGTCTTACCAGTCATACCCTCAAATGGGTGTTGTGAAGTGCAATTGTATTGGCCGATATATTAGTCCAGCTATGCTGAAGCCTTGAAACCAGAAGCATTTCGGGGGATCGAGACACCTCCCCTTTCTCGAAAGCTGAGCAGATATAAACATCGCAATACCGCACTCAAAGCTCCTTAACTATTCCTCATCATGGCCGCTTGCGATGACTGCTCTCGTCGCTTCCGCACTTCAGACGCTCTGGAAGACCACAAGCGCGATACACGACACTGTTTCTGCCATCGCTGCGACCGCCTTTTCCGAACCGTTCAGGGCCTCGAAGACCACCGTGACTCCCTTCACAACTACTGTTGCCCAGACTGTAATAAACGGTTCGACTTCAACCCTGCCCTCGAACAACACCAGAGATCGACAGGTCATGCTTATTGCGACATTTGTGAAAAGTGTTTTGAACATAAAGATTCGGTGAATAATCACAGGCGGGCACTACATAGCCCTGATTGTAGAAAGTAAGCTCCCAGTACGCTACTTCTTATCCCTACGATCTACTAGAACAAAATGTCCTCAATTGCTACTAGAACTACAAATCTCATCAAGCAGAGAATTACCAGCTTGTTCTTGCCTGTTCCTTTACTAATCTATATCTATAGCAGGACGACACCTAGCAGATCTCGTATTGTTGCGAAGGGTTGGGGCGACCGTCACAACTTTCAAGCCTCGTACGGATTGCAGATGACACCTGAAGACCTGGAGGAAGGGGATGCCATTTTGAAGGCGATGCAGGAAGCGGATCGCCATTGGTAAATTGCATGGTAGCTGCTTACAAGAGCGCGCTTGTTGGAGCTAATACTCGCGGTCTGTAGATTTAATGCGATCATGATTCACATTTCAAACAAGCAATCACTTAATATATCTGCTATAGATAGTGGCCATGATGCATGGTTCCCTATATGTATACGTGGTGTATCGACTATGCTTGCAAATGATTAGAGCCACATTGATACTATCGAATTCCCTTGATTCATAGGCCTTCTTAATCAAGGTATTCTTTCTCCTATTTATTCCTTCGTTCTTTCTCTTTCTCTTTTCCCCTCGTCGTGTCGTCTGATGACTGCTTCGTGTTAGTGGCCAGCAAGAGCACAAGAGCTGATTTTGAGCTCGTGGTTTGATTGCACAATAGGGAGCCTGAATCGTCCTCTTTTCAAAAGGTGGGGAGCCAGATTTAAAACCTCAATTCTAAGAATAGACTTAGCGCGGTTTAGCCCTTCATAATGATACTTTGCTCGGCTTCCTTCTTAATGCTATATCGCAAGGTTCTATATTTCTGGAAACAGCAAATAGTTGCACGGACCTCAAAGTGGGTTGATTTCTTCTATACTTTCACTCTTGTAATTGAGTATCTCTTCTTTTAGATCAAAAAGCACCCTGACCGATGGTCTCTAGAGGCATCGAACTTCCTGGAGGTCACCTTCTAGGGCAAGTTGAAGGATATTCCAAAAGTGAGAGGTCCTATTGCCGGCCTACGTCCACTTATTAATTATCTTTTAGCATCGATTTCTTACGCATGTATCGCCGACTGTTATGATTCCATTCATCCACTCCGCCCCTCGTCCTTGACACATTATCGACGTTGCCAGTCGTCAAAGATAAACTCTGGACTCCATGGCCAGCTCAGGCTCCTGGGTTTTCTTGGTTACATGAATACAGGGCTCCAGGATACACTTTCTATCACCTCGCCCGTTGCGGATCGAGTTCACCATTGCGGCTTTGCGAAGATGGGGCAGTTTTTCGAAGGGTTGGATTGTTTCTTTGGGACTCCGAGAGACTTCGACATATGGAGTTCTTGGATCCTTCAAAACAAGCAGAAAACCCAGGGCCATATTTGTCAAAATTCAACATCTGGTTCACATGGGAAAGTATCCTTCCTGAAGAGGTTGTGGTAGAGGCTGATGTGCGGAGAATAAATGAATTTCCCGAAGAAAGCCGTGCTTTTGGGTCGACTAAGTTAGAAGTCTATCATTGGCCAGTGCCATATGAGTACAGCCGAGATAACGAAGGTAAGGATTAATAGCCAGTCCTAGATGGGGAAATTTTAGATTTGAAGGGATGGGTTTATGTAGATAGGATATTAGAAGTGTTAAATGTAGTTTCTTTGCGTGAAATGATGTATATGTGCATATTATCGAAATTGATACTAGTGTGACAATGGTCTCTGGTGTTGTTAATGATTCTTCTTCTCCCATGCGCTAGACTTTCCCTCATGGTCAAAGTCAACACTCGAATGGCGAACAGAAATAGAAAGAAGAGAGAATGTGTTTGGCTGGTTATCCTATGATTTTCGTTCCTCTACTTGGCCGACTTGAAACTAAATTACGTCTGCAATATATCATACATTTATCCTCTATATCCATTTTTCAGAGTCATCAGAAATGAATGGGATGGAACTTTCCCTACCACTCCCCCTTGTCCTTTAGGTGAACGCCGTTGAGCCCAGGTGCCTGTATCAGCTGGGACACCTTTAGACGGAGAAAGTGGCATAAAGGAGACGGGAGCAACTAGGAGCAGCATTCCCGGAGCGCGTAGCATCGAGGAGCCAGCAGTGGGGAGCCGTGGACAACTAGGAGAGAGGGACAAGGAGCGTGTCACGTTAAGGAGCTGCTGGCTCCTCGATGCTGGCCCCTGCATGCTGCTAGCTCCGTGTAGTGTGGGTGGGGGCTGAAATCGCGGGGTAATAAATGGGACTTTTGCGGAGCCTCACGCGAAGGGCCCACCGCCTTGAGCAGCGGGTTCTTGAAGCCTCCGACCCGAATTTACTGGCGATGGTTTTTTTCTGCGCGTGATAAAATGCGTGCGAAAAGGAATCTGATTTGTTTTATTTTCCATGATTTCGAAGTCCAAGCCTTGCTTCCTAGTCTTCGCTTGCTAAGTAGATTCTCCTTTGTTGCTCCCTAACAACAGCGCACCCATTTCGACGGCGCTTGACAGACGTTGGCGTGGAGAAGGGAGCAAATCTCGTCTCCCTCACGCTAACGCATCGATTGCGATGGAGCTGAAGGAACGCTGGCGTTGACAAGGGCAGAAATGGGATACCTGACGCTGGCGCTTGACGAACGCTGGCGTTGGGAATAGAGCCCAATTTTGCTCCATTCCCAACGCTGGCGCTCGATATGCGCTATCGCAACAGATGCGCTAACGTTAGGGGATTTAATTTGTCCCTTTTCAACGCTGTCGTCCGTAGACAAATGTATTTATAGAGGGGACCAGTTTCAAACCCTCAGAGTAAAAGAAAGAGCATATCTTTTTGGTTATACTATAGAGGCTCTCACTATTGCTTAGAATAGAAGCCGAGATAGGATTCAAGAACTTTGAGTTTCAAATGCCATAGAAATATGTAAAGTGACATTAGGTCATTGCTACATAAGAGAACTTTGAGTAGACTGAAATTTTGCATTGAAACTTAAATTACTCCAACCCATTCCCTCGTATTTGGCAATGATTACTAGGATAATAACATTCTCGAGAGCAAAGATAACAGAATTCAATGGATCATCTGCAACTCAAACTTGAAGAAATCTTTAACAAACTCGCCTTCTTCTCCTAGGAGGTCTATGAATTCCTCAGCATGGGATAGTACAACTGCATTCGTAGCCATATACCGACAAACCAGACCCCTTAACCTACCTTCTTCCAAACATTGACCCTCAGAGTACGTATACCTTGCAAAGTCGATAACATCCTTAACATTCTCATCATTGAGCTGGAATATGCATAGCGTCTTATGGAGTTTGTACAAAGCTAATGCTTTCAGCGAGTCGATGAGTCGGTAATCGCCCAAGATATATAGCGAGGCGTGGGCAAGAAGCACGTTGGAATAACTCTGGTCTGGTTCAAATTGCTCAATTGGCTCGCAAGTGCTGTCATGGTTGTTGCGAGGCGTTAGTAGAGGGTAGAAGAGGGAGGGGAAGTCGGTTGCGGAGAGCCTGGGTGAGGGAGGCTCTGGGTATTTTTCTCGTGTAGTTCGAACGACTGGTGGTGGCGACTCTGCTGGTGGTGATGATTTTGGTGGTGGTGGCGGCTCCGATGGTTTTGCTGCCTAATCCCAGATAGGGGCATTCTTCGACGCTCCTTTGCCCTTCTTCTTTACGCTCTTTTTGTCTTTGCGGAATCTTCCATGATTATAGTCGGAGGAAGCCTCCGCTGCCACTTCTTCTTCGTACGCCACTGGCTTTTCGATATACTCCTTCGGTTCCTCGACGGCAGGAGCTTTATTTACTTCCTCAGCCTTATGCCATGCTTGTATTCCGCTCGAAGAACTTGGCGAGGCCTGATCAGTAAAGGTATTCCTCTTCACTCTTTCTGGTTTCACAACTAAGTCGCGCTTTTTAGTCTCTGGTATCGAGTAGTTGCCGGTGTATGCAAATTTGACGAACAGCTCGAACGTTTCCTTGCTTACGTCTTTCCATATTGTGCAGCCGGCTTGAGCCTCCGATAGGCCACCTTTTATCAAGCTTAGAACAGGATCTATAAAGTAATCCTTTTAGCTAACATGCTTGCGAGATCTCTCGCCAGAGGCCCTCCTTCTTCCATTAACACCAGAAAGCTTTCATTCATCCCTATCTTCTCGAACACGCACGCCACAAAATGTATGACCATCCTTCTCAAGCTGTCTATGTCTTGCCCAACTTCGGTATCTCGAGTATTGACGTTACTGTAGCTGAATCGAACAAGATCGACTATACTTTCGGTCTGATTTCTAGCGTCATCGACAGATAGAAGTAGCATTTGGTGCAATTTGTCCAATGCTAGATTCTGCAGTTTCGTAATGTCGTACCTGTCAGCGAAGACATAAACACGAGCGTGACGTAGAAAATTATCGGCTTTGGACTCTTTCAAGTTTCCACGCGGCCAAAACTTGGGGCTGATAACAGAGTATTCACGACCTTGGAAGTCGTCCCAAAGAGTCTGCTTAGTTTCATGGCCGCAGTGTCTACACTGTGGCTCGACAACAGCGATGTCAGGGGCACCAAATGGGTTTACACGTTGTGGCTCGAAGTAAGCAGGGGCACCAAATGCGGAACCAAATGCGGTCACACGTCTGTCTCGCAGTCTTGTCGAACATAGGGGATAAAACGCACAAACTCATGAGCCCATTTACCCGTAAGAGTACGAATACGATAGTCGTAAAGGTATACATCGTGATGTAAGAGAAAAAGTAGTTACTTGCTTTGGGCATATTCTGGGCGAGGACTGCCGGTACTGCTTGGATCGTGACTGACATCTCTCCTAGGATGGTTGTGATACCTGCAGACAGGGAGACGGTAAGAAATACCTGCACGAACAGAAAAGTGAAGTAGTAGATCTGAACGTAGTTTTCAGTGGCTTGACGCGAATGCAGTCCCTGCATGTTTGCAAGAAGGCGTAACGCGATTGGAACCATAGCAGTGACCACGCTCAGCATTGCCGGAGGCAACACTCCTTTAATCACTGCCACTAGCCAAGTCGGAAGCGTAGCCACCCAATCAAGCCAAGGGACCACATTGATCAGGTATTTGACCTGTGAGAGCGACCCGATGATTGTGACTGGGAATGCGAAGCCAAGTGTAAGCACGACCGCGAGAAGATAGGCGAGAGCTGTTCGAACGCACTGCTGCCACCACCTTTGCCAAACGAAACGTTTCTTTTTTCAGTGCTAGGAAGCATACACAGTATAAATAGACAAATTCAGAATCGCGACGTTGGTAGTGCAGTGCTTTATTCCTGCTCTACCACAGCCTCAATGTCAAAGTGCTTTTTCCCCTTGGGCTGCACGTCCTACGCGCTGGTCGGGACGCCACTTCTGGGCCAGGCCCTGAGAACGAGCGGCTGATGCCAATCTTGCCCAATGGAAGGACAAATATTGAGGCTAAAGGAAGTAAAGCGCGCTCCAGAGCCTAACCTCATGCAATGACCAGTGTGTCCGTGGTTGGGGTTAAGTGTGAGGAAAATGGGGTCTTGCACCAAGTATTCTTGACCGTTACAGAGCAGAGCCTTGCCCACTATCTATTATCTTCCTTCCTTCCACAACCATCAATGCATTTATGGCATAGCATGGCCAAGAATGACTCCGTCAGATGCGATCAATGTCTCTCAGCAGTATCAAAAAACTCGTTTTCCGCAAGATTATGTCCTTTCAAACGGGGGTGCTGCCAAGTATAGGGTCCATCACGAACAGTGTTCTAGTGCTGTGACTTCACACAGCGATCAGAGACTTTCAAAGGCCTGTACTACCAAGAATGTTGTCAGCGTTTCGCAGCGTTATCGCGAGACTCGATTCCCTCGTGATTACACTGTTCTAAACTCAGAAGCTTCACAATATGTGGTACACGAAGTAAACGAGGAAGAACAATCTACAGAAGATAGAGTCAACACCCGAACATCCTCAACGACTCCTACGTCTGAAGAAGGGCTACTTCACGGAGACATCGCTCTAACAACAATAGACTGCTCACCATCTATGTTACCTCCTCCCAGCCGACACAAAACCTAGCGGCAACAACATTTATCAGGATGGAAGGTCGGGGTAGCCATATGTGCTCTGATCGTCGGTTGTGCTTTGTTGCTGAACATCAGTGTCTTGATAGCTGCGCTTGCGCATGGGGCCCAACTCGGTGGATTTGCCTTATTCTACCAAGGCAAATGTAGCACGTCTTCAACTTTGACGTTGTGGTGTCATGTTTTGATAAACTTGCTTAGCAGTGCGCTGCTCAGTGCGAGCAATTACTGCATGCAGATTCTGAGCTCTCCAACACGCTCCGAGATTAACAAAGCGCATTCTCAAAAACGTTGGCTGGATATTGGGCTTCAAAGCATGAAGAATTTGAGGAACATCTCCCCAAAGAGACGGAAAATGTGGTGGCTGCTGGTACTGAGCTCAGCACCCTTGCACTTGATGTACAACTCTACAATCTTCTCGATGTCGGCTGCACACGAATACTTTGTCGCCCTTGTTGTTCCAGGCTTCCTGTCTCCTCAACTGGCCCTAGATGCGACAGCGAACTTGAGTTTGAGTTCCGATATACTTACACTTCACGATCGACTCCAAAACACCAGCCTGACCTTTGAACAACTAGATACTTTGGATTGCTTCAAGGACTATTCTCAGAGATACGTTACTGATCGAAGTCATTTGATTGTGGTGCTGCAAGAGAATTGGCAGACAATGGACACCTTCTTATGAAACTGGGATTTCAATGGCACCTGTTTCTACGATGGCACAAACTCCTCACTGGTGCCGTTCTTTGGAATCTCCTTGCCATCCCAACACTTTGAACTTGCAGCGCTGGTCAGCATGACCAATGCCTCAACAAACTCTTTCCAAGAGGGAGCTCAGGCCATCAAATACTGTTTGAGCGAAGTCAATCAACAAGGTTGCAGGGTGCTGCTATCTATTCCTACACTTGCCATCATCATTTGTTGTAACTTGCTCAAAGTAATCATAATGATAATGATGTTCAGAACCAGGAACAGCAATGCGAAGCCATTAGTGACTAGAGGAGATGCAATACAATCTTTTATTGAGCTTCCAGATCCAACTACGGACGATATGTGTCTCTACGATAAAAACATGATAGAAAAAGGATTCTGGGAGAGAGCAAAATTACCCCAGGAGTACTACCCAAGAAAGCGTCTTTGGTTCGGTGCCTGCTCAACCAAGAGATGGGTAATCACAAACGTCATGTACGCCTCCATGCCCATGTATTATCCTAACTTTTTGGCTCACTTGTACCTAGGGCTGTCGCAACTCTTGTCGTTTTAGGAGCAGTCAACTTTTCGTTTCCAAAGTCGATATCAGATGCTTGGTTATTGGGTCTTGATACCGCCGCCTCCGAACAAACAGTCGTCAATATCGGCATGACTGGTAAGGGATTATCTGGTGTTGTATCGAATCTCCTTCTAGCAGATCTTCCACAGGCCTTGTTCTCCCTCCTTTTCCTCTCCTACAACAGTCTTTTTACTTTCATGTATGCCGCGGACGAGTGGCATCGTTTCGCTCATGAAAAAAAAACTCTGCGTGTCTCGTCACCGATCGGTGACCAGCGAAGTACCTACTGGCTACAGATGCCATACAAAGCCGCGTTCCCCCTCGTTGCCATCGCTTTCGTCTTCCACTGGCTCATCTCAGAGAGCTTGTACTTTTCAAGAATAGCTATATATGACCTGGATGGTAAATATGTCCCCGAGAACGATATTTCGACCATTGGGTACTCCTTCAAGCCTCTCGTTCTCGTCCTATGCCTTGGGATCTTGGTGGTATGCGGATTTGGAATTATCAGTGGGTTCGTGAGGTTCAAGGCCGGGCTTCCATTGGCAGGTGGATGCAGTGCTGTTATCAGTGCCGCGTGCCATGGTGCTGCACAAGGCGATTGTGGCGATGATGTATTACGGCCGTTGAAGTGGTGCGTCGTATGCGGGGCAGATTCGCTTCAGGAAGCTGGAAATAAGACACAGCACACCCACTGGAGGGAAGAGTTTTGGAATTCAAGAGACCTGCCAGGACATTGCGCGTTCAGCAGTGCTGAGCTAGCAATGCCTACTCCCGGACACTTCTACAAATAAGCTGCTTGTAGCTGGTAGCGAGTTCCGAACAAGGGGAACACATCGCAGAATGGATAGGCCCTATAAAAGAGTGAAAGTTCATGAGCTAGCAGTGTATTTGCTCCACTGATATTGGTTTGTCCCAATCATTTGATAACTATCCTCAGATGGTTGCAAATAGAATCAGAAAGAGATCAACACTCGGAATTAGCTATGAAAGTAATCAAGCTTTGCCCAGACTTCAAGCCCCGATCAGAGCTCGACGATATAACCAAAAAGATAGTCGACCATGCCGTGATTGCGACACAACAATGCTTGGAGATTTTCCACTTACTGTTACTCGTGATGTTAGCACAATCTATAAATGAGACGGTTTTCAACTTGCCTCATACCAAGATCTCTTCAGACGAGTCCTTGATTCCTGCATCTTGAGGCGCTACGAACCTCGCAGCTCTAGAAAAATCTATAGATCTTATGACTCGTTCAATTGGCAATTGCACGGTTGAACGACAGGCAAAATGGACTACATATTGAAATGGTATGTGTGCATAGCTTTGATTGACTGATCTGCTGGCTCATATAGCAGAGGGCTGGCTATATATATACACAGAATAGGCCTGTGGGCCCTAAAGTAGTCTATGATTCATAGTAAAGTTACTATGACATCATGTGACATCACACTTATTAAGTGATATTCCAACACTACATACCGTCTAGACAATGTTCCACGGACTGTTAACACACTTAGTGGATCGTGTGTAGTCGGTACAGACTACTTGACTAGATCAATTCTCGAAATAACAAAACAAACACCAATCCGGATTGTTGAGGCTTCACAAAGTATCCAGAACGGGCTATACAATACAAGCTGGTTTACAAGCTTTGAGACAGAGTCTCACACACCACTTCCAAAAACACTACGGATACTCGGCGTGCACTGTGGCTTCTCCGAGGCTTCTCGAAGCATCGTCAAGCGCCGTACTGTGAGTCGACAGGTGCCTTATTCTTGGTGGGTGATTATTTAAAAAGGTACCTATATGTCACGGGTTGACGTGTTTGATACGCGCTTTGACATCATGTGATCTCGCTTTAGTTCTTTAAAAGCGCGAGGAATCGCCAATCTTCTTTTGGATTCCTCGCGCTACGTCTTGTATCTAGAATCAATACACACCTTGACTCAAACCCTCACAAAAGGTACCCATAAAATATTAAGTGCCTATTATTGGTAACCAGGTGACGGAAGCGTATTATAAGCTGATCTGGCTAGTTAATTTCCACTTGGTTTTTACACACCACTTGGTTTTTACACACCACCTGGTTCTTACACACCATTCGGTTTTTACACATCAATTAATTTTTACACACTACTCGGTTTTTCCTGCCCCGTGCCCAAAGAAACCTCGAGGCATCACCTTAAGTCTCTCTCGATAATTCCGTGCCCTGCATTACACAAGTGAAGGCCATCTGGTTTGCACACATCTTCCTGCTGAATTATACATTTGCTAATTGCAAGGTGCTAGCGCATAGATTTACGCAGTAATGGACGACCCCGAAACTTTTACTCAAAGCACGCCTGCCCCCTCGCCATTTTCCAATAGCAGGCAGCTCAACCTCCAAGTTGGGGAACAACGATTCGTCACGATGGCAGAGAAAAAGATACCTCGAAGCGATAAAGATCAAGTACTCGGCTGACGTAAGGGAGGGGAATTATTTTGAAATGGAAACTCTGGCGACAGATGAACAAATGGAGTGTCACCCGATGTGGCACACGATGAAGGTCTACATTTGCCCACGGGGAATTGACGGCAGAAGGTTTGAGGACGAATCTGGGAAAGGATTGTGTGTTGGGGCCGGGATAGTATCGCAATCACAGGTCCGCTTCAAGCATTGTCTGGCCGAAAAAAGCGTTGGTAGCTTCTGTTGCTAACTTTGATTCGAACAAATACAATGGTCATACATTTGTGACGTGTGTTTTCGAGAAAGTATGGATGGATGAAAGCTTTTAGTACTATTGGAGGAAAGAGGGCTTTCGGTGAGAGATCTCGCGAGTCTATCAACATCTCCAAAATCTCTATCTCTGACATCTCCGACATCTTCGACATCTTCAATATGATAATAGATGTGGAAGGTTTTCTAAGTGCGCGAGTAAGACTGGTAGAGAAGTGGGTTGTTAATGGTGATGATGGTGAAAAGTGGTGAAAGTGGTGAAAGTAGTGAAAGTAGTGAAAGTAGTGAAAGTAGTGAAAGTGGTGAAAGTAGTGAAAGTAGTGAAAGTGGTGAAAGTAGTGAAAGTAGTGAAAGTAGTGAAAGTAGTGAAAGTGGTAAAAGTGAAAGTGAAAGCGGTTTGACCTGTTTTATAAGAGAGCGATGATAACTTTAGTAGGTGCGATTTTGTGGATTGGGGTGTGTATAATTGTAGCTGCGACGATTGTAGCAGCTATAATTCTTTTGAGGATGCGGATGGAATAATATTAATGGTAGACGGTGGTTGTTGTGCTTTATTAATTGACTCACCGTCATCATTACCTCAGATGATTGGGACAGGCCATCTTGCACTACCCTTTGCGTTTACACCTTCGATAGTATTACAACCCTTCGCAACCTCTCCCATCCTCGCAGCCTCTCCACATACTTGCAACCTTTCTCGTCCTCGCAACCTCTCCCATCCCTCGTAACCTCTCCACATACTTGCAACCTCTTTGCATTCTCGCAAGTTCCCCCTCGTTAATCTTTCGAGCTCCAGTCACAAAGCAAACAAATCGTTTCAACTTCGACCTCCGCCCTGCTTCACTTCCCTAAACAAGATGTCCATCAGCCAGTCCTCTTCCACTCAAATTATGCGTCGCGTTCAGTTTCTCCCTTCCAATTGACAAGGAAATAAGCTAAAGTCGGTATATAGATGCTCCGCTCTTTTTTGAGGCTATGATGAAGCTCTACTTATTAAACCCTAATGTTGCTCTTGCTAGCGTAGTTCCACTTCTCGATTCCTCGTCTGGCAATATCGCTATTATTTACCCTCGCTGTGACGAAGTCCTTGTCGTTCGCAAGTCAGCTCTCGCTCTTGAGATTTAGTTAGATTTTTAACAATTCTTCAAGCTCGAGCATCCAGAGTATTTCTTCCTCTCGCTTAGGTGCTATATAACTTATGGTCTGGTCACTCTGACTTCAGATCCTCGAGAGATTTCTGGTGTCTTCATGCAATGCGTTGGACAGTTTATATGCGTCCCACCTTGCCATGAATGCAGGAATGCTTTACAACTTTCTACTACCAGCAATCGTCTTTTTTTTAATTTGTGTGTCACGGCTAGCGATAAAGACAATGGCGTCGCGCCTTGGTGCGGAAGCTGTTTCGTACAGCCAAATTTCTAAATATGTACACTAAGTAAGTCTGCTTTCTTGTCTATTTGACATAGCGTGCTGACGATTTATTCTTCCGTAGCCCAAATTCCTTCCGGTATTGCTTGTTCTGCCTACTACTTTCTATACAACTTTTCCACACGCCGAGCATTCTAGCCTTTGCCTGATAGTGGCGTAAGCGGCAAGATCGAGTATCGAGTTCTTAAAGATTGGCAGGGATAGGTGGTAAGGGAGATGATGACTCTTTGATGTTGGTAGATGTTATGTGAGCAAAAGGAATCGCTCTTTACAGTGCCAGAAACGTGTTTATTCACCGTCCACTTAATCCTAATTGCTATTTATAAAGTTATTGATCACTCGCCTGGGTAGGCAGGCAATTGCTATTCGTGCGCACTGTCTGATACTTCTTTGAGTTGGCCTCGAGATAACACTTACCAATAGCCTCTTAATTACTATCTTCTTGCTAGTAGATATCACAGTTGCTCATTATGGAGAATCGCTAACGTGTCCAGGCAGAAACTTCCCTCTCCCTTGTCTTCAATGTCCTCTGGGTTTCCCTGACCCGTGAACGCCAAGGCTGAATGCAACTACCCGCACGACACTCAACTTCCTTGAGCTTGATTGGGCGGGATATGCTGTGTAACTTCAACAGGCTCGATCACCTGAGAAGAGGAAACTGATCCTAAAAATCAGCCCATTGCAGCGTTTGCTCTTACTTCTTACATATCCCCCCATCTCTCAGCGCTGTCTCTTGATCCCCTTGTTTATAACAGCTTCGGCCATGGCATCTATTACCGTATCCGAGATCTCTCGCCTGGATCTTCAAGAACTCGAAACCCCTGCGTTGGCTTCAATCTCTTAACGTCAAGACCCTGTCTTCTTATAACTGGATCGAGGCACCCAAAGCCACGCCTACAATTGCTGTCCCTGGAAGTCCGGCTCTTTGGTCAGCTCCAGGAGTTTCTCGACGGTTGAAGAAGGACTCTGGTCTCGTCTATATCGCCCAAAATGCAGCTCGCCATCCAGAAAGTCCTCTTGAACCCCCTTTCCGCGCGTTATACGTCACAAATCCTTCATTCGATATCCGTTCGACCGATGTCGTAACTGACTGAAACAACATCCGTAAGCTCCTCTCGTTTATCGACCCTAGCTCCACAACAAACTGGCTCGAAGCATTCACCATGACCATCGAGGTGACGCAGAATACCGCGATATTCTGCCGTGACGAGATCAAGACTCTGGAGTATATCGGACCACAAGACTTCAGGGGATTTGGACACGAATTCGAGTAAGCGTATACCATTGCCCAGATCAACAGCAGCACTGGACATCATAGGATCATCTCGTACCGCTTCAGTGATCTGAATTTAATTGTCCGCCACGAAACGGATGGATACGTTGACACTGGTACGAGGGCGTCTTCTTCCAAAGCAAAGAGCCAGTCACAAGATGACCTCTCTAGCACGTTGGGAGCGTTGTCTCTGTCTCCAGCCAATAGTTCTCCTGGTATCATCCCTACTGGGTCCAAATTGATAATCAAAGGAAGGTCTGGTAGTACCGCTGGAATTAACCCTTGAGATAAAAACAAGAGTGTCACACAAATCCCTCGATATTCAAGAGGTCGCACCACAACTCTGGTATCTCAAACTCCTAAGCTTGTGCGAGCATACCACCAGAATGGTACTTTTCAGAGACCAGTGGTTGAAGATGTTGCCGCTGTAATCAAGATCTGGGAAGAACGCAAGCAGAATGAATTGAGGATACTAGCAGCGCTAATTCGAAAAATCATCAATCTCGTGAAGGAGTGTGGGGGTAACGCTATCCTCAAGTACAACACAGAGGGGGATAAGCTGGTGGTCTGCAAGGTTGAAAGAAAAGAGATGCTGCCAAAAGACTTGTATTCGAAGTGGGATGGTGCGCCTAATCTTGGAGCGGAGATTGATACACGGAATGATGGTCTACTAGGACCTAAGATTGCTCAAACAAGGCGAGAGAGCATTTCCACGGTATGCGATAATTGGCAACAATCGCGAGCATGAAGCTAACGTGGAGACTTTGCAGATGAGAACCACTGGAGATGACCTGAAAGCTACAATCAGAATTGGAGATATGGATTACAGCGTGCATATGGTGTCCAAGATGCCGTACTTGGCATCCTTTGTTCGACTCCAGAAGGTTACTCAGCCAGAAGCAACTGTGTTTATCCATGAGCCGATTAACCTCTTCGATATAGCCCTGAAAGGAGTTGAATCGGGCTACCGCCAATGCTACCGATCTCTGCCTACCAATCTCTCTCAATACCGTACTCTCTTCGCAACGTACAAGTTCCTCAACGTTGATATTCTGAGCGGCCTGTCTATCGACGAGGTAATTGCCAATCTGAAAGTAGGTAGAACGGACTACGACCCTGAGGAAAGATGACGAATTTCCGGTAACAAGGGCTTGGCACGCGATACAGCTTTTCAGCTCTTGTATCTGATACTATATGCTCAGTTCGGAGACGAGACGAAGGACAGCATGAAGCTTTCTAATGCAGTCATGTTCATAGTATCTCATCCAGGGACTTTTAAGTCCCGTACGAAGCGAGTGATCCGCCTTGCGTACGAGGAGCGATTTAGCCCAACGACGAAGCAAAGAGCGAGACTAGATGAGTGGGAGAAAGGAGAGAATGCCGATGCTAAGACAGATGCAACCACTGAGGAGGAGCCCTATTACTATTTTGATTCAGATGATTCTTTTTTTTAGTAGGCTATGAAGCATTTCAAAGTCCGCAAAATATTTTAAATTAAAAAATTTAAAAACTAATTTTATAGTTCGCTATAATAAATAATTTTAAACTTTATTTATTTATTTATTTAATAATTTATTTATAAATCGATTTTATTATAAAATATAATAATTAATATAATTATTTAATTATTCGTAATTTTAAATATTTATTATTATTATATAATTTCGAATAAATTCTCGATTATAAATTACTCGATTTATAAACTTTTTTTACGAAATATACGAATATATAAAAATAAAAATAAAAATAAATTTTCGATTTTTTTTAAATATATATTTTAAAAATTAATAAAAAAATATATAATAAAACGTATATTAAATTAACGTTATTATATTTAAATATTTAAAATTTTAATTTAATTTAAATTATTTAATTATATTGCTCGAAACGTTATCGAAATATTAATTAAAAAAATTTATAAATATTTAAAATATAATTTTAAAAATATAATTTATATTCTAATTTTATTCTATAAATTTTATATTCGTGTAACAGCACGCACTCTGGACTATAGAATCAAGACGTATATACTAATCTGTGAATAATAGACAAAGAACTAAAAGAGTGGAAGAGTGTTGAGGGCAGATAAGCTAGGTCCTCAAACACTAGCTGAAACAATCACATGACTACAACCACTAGTCACACTAGAACTATGATAATTCGAGCCGACTTTTTTTTTAATATTAATTAAATATTTTCGCTTAAAATATTTCGTTAAATTTTTTAAAATAATAAATTTATAAATATGTTTTTTAAACGATAAATTTTATTTTTCGAAATAAAAAAAATAAATAATAATTTTTCTTAATAAATATTAATAATATCGTTATTATTTAATATTTATTTTTTAATTTCGACGATTATTAATTTTAAATTAATTTTTTATATAAATAATTTTTTACGTAATATTACGTTTTTTTAAAAATAATAATAAATAATAACGACGTTAATTATAATATTACGTCGATAAAATTTTTTTATTATATTTATATTTAATAAAATTATAATCGTTATTATTAAATATTTTTATATTAAAAATATTAATATTAAAATTATTATAAAATTTATGTGACGGGTTGAACCCGATATTTGGCTGCACTACTACGTAGTGCAGCCTGCACGTGACTACGCGGGCCTGCACATGACTGCGCGACGCTAAAGCGCGCGGGCCATTCTACGAACCAGCGAGAGCCCCTTTTAAAAGAGCTCCTCGTACAAGATAGAACTCTTCTCTCTTTAGTTAATTCTTCTTGTAATACAATCAGGTTCTTGCTTTAACTCATTGCATCCAACCCGTGACAATTTAAATTTGTGACGGCACGTACGAGAAAGCACAATGAAGGCGTCGTAGACTGCTCTATTCGAAGATACTAAGCTAAAGAAAGGAGAAGAGAGTCTCTCGGAGGGAGACGAAGGCTATTTATACATAATACGGGCACTGGTGGACCTATTCCACGTGCGTAGCATGTGACGAGTGGTTCAACTCGTCACAATTTAAAAAAAAATTTAAATTAAATATATTCGATATTTTTATTTTTAAAATATCGATTAAAATATCATTGTAATGAGTTGAACCCATTCTGTAGCTATGCCCCTAAATGGGCATAGCCGTCACATAAGCAGACGCTCGGGCCTTAGCGCCCTTACAAAAGGATTTCTCTAGGGAGAATCCTTCTTTCCTTAACTAGTTCTTTTTGTAATACACATAGCTTGTTACTTTAACTTATTGTATTAGCCTGTGATATTAGAACTAGTTTAATAATAACGCAAAGCAAAGCAAAGAGCTTACTTAGCGCAGACGCAAGTGAAGCTATACTACGAAATCAGCCACGCGCAGACGCAATTAAGGCGACGACACAAAATTTTTTTTTCAATAGATCTAAAGAGCATTCAATAGGCCGAGGCGGCTAATAATAGAGAAAGCTAGCTATTGGCTATTGTAGGAGAACTTCGTACGCAGGTTTAAGGACTACGAATGCGGCAGCGTGCAAAACCTCGCCAGGTGTTGCCACAACCCGATAAGTTCGAGGGTCGGACGAAGGATTGGGATACTTAGTCGATAACAATAAGGGCGAAGCTGCGGATTGACGGCGACGCGATTGGTGGGCTTAAGGCCTAGTTTTACTATGTGTTTAGTTCTCTAAGCTCAAAGGTGTAAAGCTTAGTGTTGGCTTTTGTACAACAAGCACAAGAGGAAGAGGACTAGAAGCCCTTCGACCTTCTAGATCGACTCAGTCGAATTTACGATGACCCGAACAAGGCGAAAAAAGCGGGATAATAGTTAATTGAGTTATAGCAGGGCACGACGTCGATTGCCTCATACGTACTAGTGTTCGAGAAGACTTTGTTTGAGTCTGGTGCTAATAACTAGCCGGACGACGCAAAGATAACCACCTTAGTGAGCGGTTTAAATAAATACACTAGACAACGAATCGATAGCTAGCTAAGCCTTCCCACGAAGTACGACGACTTTGTAAAAATACTACAGACGCTAGGGAACTAGTTTGGCCGGATAAACAATAACAATGGCAATAGCCACAGCGGTAGTAATACAATGGATTGGGAACGTGCCCTAGCGGGGGTAGCAGCAATTGGTTGTAGAAAGACTATTGCTCCTAATGTTTCGCGCGAGTAGTGCTAACAATAGAGAGACGATGGGAGGTGCGTATAATGCGGATCCTCAAAGCACTGGGTCAACATGTGCAAAGCTCAACCGACGCGGAGTCGGTCTTCATCAAAATCCTTAACGAAATCCAGGGAACTGGTTACGGGTGCTAACACAGTGGCGGTGGCTAAGCCTCGTACAAAGACAACGGCACGGTCAGTCCATCTGGGAAAGGCTAAAGCAAATGAAGAGGACTCGTCCGAGGAGGACGAGGAGTATTAGCCCCGGCTCTTTTCCCCGGGTGGGGGATAACTTAAGAGGGGGGTAATGTGATGGGTTGAACCCATTCTGTAGCTATACCCCTAAATGGGCATAGCCGTCACGTGAGCAGACGCTCGGGCCTTAGCGCCCTCACAAAAGGATTTCTCCGAGGAGAATCCTTCTTTCCTTAACTAGTTCTTTTTGTAATACACATAGCTTGTTACTTTGACTCTGTGACAGACCAGATCAGGTTGAGATGTAAGAGGTGATCCATTCTTAGAATACTAAGGTGAAGAGCTGAGGACAGCTCTCAGGAGTGCTTATATACAGGATTCTGCCAGGCGGTGAGTTGTTACGTGATAGGACTGAAACCAGCACTGTGACAGACTCATTGTATCAGCCCGTGATAATCGTATAATTACGAAATTTTATTAT